TAAAGTAATTTTAAAAAGGAATGCGGGGTTTTACCAAGCCAACACCGTGGCTCGGCCAGTACAGCTGTTGCCTGCAATGCAAGTCTGTGTCGGCTCCTTCCCTGCTGATGCAGCTCCCCAAGAGCCTCGGAAACCAGGCAACTCATCTGAGGAGCAAACCAGCAGGCAGAAGTTTGTTCGTCATTCTCTCTCTCTCTCATTCTCCCCCTCTGCAATTTGAACTTCAAATAAATTTTTTCTTAATTGGCCATCTACCAACCATAACACAGAACGTTATGCGATGAAACAGAAAATGTGGATAACTCTATGCTTACTTCCTAAACTAAATTTGGATTTGTAAAAAGCCTTCCCACAAAGAAAGTATCAGGTCACTGGTAAATTCTAACAAACACCCAAGGATGGATACTAGTATTGCACAAGCTCTTGCAATAACCGAAGGGAACACCTACCAAGCATGTAGGACGGGAAGGGAGCCAGGACACCAGCAGCCCAAGCACTCCCATGGGAAGGGAGCACCCACTGCACCAAATGCCTACTCCTGAAACAGAATTAGATCATCCTCCCACTGCCTTCCACCTCACCAAAATCTCTAAATTTCTTTATCTTAAATTCCCTCTCAAGGCAGTAAAACGCTTTCATAGAACGAATTACCTAAACTAAGTACCAGGAAGTGGGAAAAAGGAGAAAGTGTCAGTAAAAGGCAAACTGAAAAGTGAGACCACGCTGCCTGTCTCCTCGCACACCCAGATTCTGAAGAGGTGAATGTGAAAGTACTTCTCTCCCCACAGCAGGCAAACTAACTTTCTAAGAGCTCCCAGATCCTACACCCTGGCATAATCTCCACTCTCTGAGCCTGCAGACACCTGCATACAATGGGATATCATCCCAGGGGCTATGTTTCATAACAAAAGAAACTTTTGCGTATGTAATTGAAGTCCCTAATCAGTCTCATTCACCAGAAAGGTTGCTGCCTGGAAGTGTGACCTGATAACTGAGCTTTCAAAGGAAGTCGGAGAAGAAATCTGTTTCTCAGTCCCTGGATAAAAGCCAACTGTCCACGTGCTCACAGGCCAAGGAACTGGGAGATTCTAGTTACCAAGCTGCCCAACAGTGTCAGGCATCAGAACTAACATATCCTCGTGGTAAGGATGAAGCACAACGCAGCCAAGACTGGCATGTATCTTTCTCCAAAACAGTATCTTCAGGAAAATACAGATCCAGGGTGGCATGGCATAGCAAGCTAACCCTCTGCCTGAGGGCCAAAGTCCCATAGAGGTGTCGTCTCCTCTAACTCTGCCTTTCAAATAAAAAGAAACCCTTACAAATATACAGATACAAACTTTTAAAAAAACTGCTAAAACTTCATAAAATCGTGTATGTTTTAAGTTTTAGCAGTAAGTAAGAGCTTTCCCACACATATTAGTAAACATTTCACTCTCTGGCATTACCTCTACTATAGAGACAAGGCAAGTACACCACTATGCCAAGCTGGATCTGAAGCCACGGAGCCAGGAGCCTCAAGCTTCTTCCAGGTCTCCAGCATCAGTAGGCAGGGTCCCAAGGACATGGGCCATTCTCTGCTGCTTTCTCAGGCCAGATACAGGTAGCTAGATGGAAAGCAGCAGCCAAGACAGGAACCACACGGGATGCTGGCGTTTACACACAGAGTTGCCAGTTGCACCATCATGCTGGCCGCTCCCTCACTTTCAAAAAAATATATCTTTAATGAGGAAAAAGTAAAGCTCAAAGAGAAATATTCCAAACATTAGAAACCCGTATGTTCAAAAGCTTCAGACCAGAACTCCCATCCAGCCCCATCCTACAACTCCCTTAAGGTTTGAAAGAGTTATTCAACGTAACTTACTTTCTTCAAGAGTCAATGCTCGTAATACAGCAATGTCCCATGATGCACATCTATTCAAATGTGCTTTTGCTTCAGCTCAACAACCCAAGTGGGGCTATTTGGCCACATTCTGAACATGTCAGACCCCTGCAGTGTAGGCGTCTCACAACAGTCCTAGCAGCTCCACTTCCAGGCAAGCTCCCACTTAAAGCCCGGCAAAGGACCGAGTATGGCCCAACGCCTTGGGACCTGCACCCACATGGAAGAGCCAGCCACAGGAAGCTCCTGGCTCCTAGCTGCAGATTGGCCCAGCTCCAGCTGCTGCAGCTAACGGAGGAGGGAACCAGCAGGTGAAAGACTGCCATGCCTCTTAACTCTGCCTTTCAAAAAAAAAAAAAGGGGGGGGGGGAAGTTCATTAAAATACCATGTTTGGGACAGACGCAAGCAAGACACAAGCATCCCCCTGTAGTGTACCTGGAAAAGCAGCAGCAGACTCCCCAAGAACGTGGGCCCCTGCCGCCAACATAGGAGACTTGGATGCAGTTCCTGCCTGCTGCTTTTGCCCCAGATCACGGGGCTGTTGTCACCATTTGCAAACCAGAACATAATGATTCTCTCTCGGTCTTCCAAATAAATAAAAACAAGTCATAACCCAAATACCTGGCTTTTATACCCAGCTCTGGACTCCAGCCACCTGATGTGCACAGCGCGCTCTCAGGCAGCTGGTCCAGGGCCACTAGTTTGGAAGCCACACCTCCCCCACCGAGAGAATCCTTTCTGCTCATTATCATCACCTGGAACCGGGTGGGGGCTGCTTTGTGTCTTCCAGCGCTCACCCCCTTCCCGCCCACAAAGAGGCCCAGATGGGGAGGGGCTCGGTGTGTGGGTGGTGCTCACGCCCCAAGCACACGCCGGGTCTCTGACTTCCTGCAGATTCCAAGGACAGAGGCAGCCCTGTATGTCTGTATTCCTGTCTGTTCTGGTCACTGGTTGGGCAGGTCAGCAAAGACACAGTCGCTAAGATGTTTTGTATTTCTTACTAGTGTACTTCCAAGAGCTCCAGCAGACGTGAGCCCTAGCACCCATGGAACAGGGACAGAGGAATCAGGAAGAGACTAATGTCCTTAGTTTTGAGTGTGCAGGTTGTTCAGCCCGAGGAAGTTGGTGCATAGGCCTCAGCTTAACTCTCGGATGTTGCAACACTAACCATTGGTTCCTCTCAGGGTTTGGATTCAGAATGGATTGCCACTGTAACTCTTCATCTGCCTAGCAATGCGGAAGGTGTCACTCCACACAAGCTGATGGTTTCTAGAGGAACGGGTGCTGTCACTGCCAAATTCGGCCAGTACAGACTCCTCTCAGGACATCCTGCACTTGCGTGGCATGATCCCTGTCACACCCCACGAACGCAGCGGACGATGGTCTGGTGGGTTTCTGCCACCAGATGGGAAACCTGGATTGAACTGTCCCAACTGCAATCCGACCCAGATGCTTCTGTTTGGTTTTTTTTTAACTGAAGTGGATACTCACAGTTTTCCACTTAAAGTAGTTCGTAAGAACCAACACTGATTGGAGCCAGTGCTGGCAGGCTTGGGAGCCAACGCCCCTTATCAGAGCGCCTGGCTCTGCCTGCCGCTGCCTGCCAGCACACACCCTCAGGACAGCAGCGAACAGCTCACCCCTCGTGATGCGCTCCCAGCTTCAGGCCCAGCCCTGGCGGTTCTGAGCGAACTTGGGAGTGAACCAGTAGACAGAAGATTCCCAGCTCCACCTCTGAAGATGTAAATATCGGGTAGGCCACTTGAATTAAGTACATGCTGAGGCGGTAAACAAAAAAAGGCAAAATTCAAGCGAAACACCTGTAGGTTTTGTAGAACGTCAGATAACCGGCAATTTGTACGTTAGTGTTAGCCAATCAAAAAATGACATCTACAATCCTTTCAATATTTCCCTCCTTGATTAAAATTATCAAACCTTAACTCTTCATATATAAATAAGTACAAAGTGCAATAAACAAGCTGCTTATTTTCACTGTTCCGAGATTTGCAATTTTCTTAAAACACACAAAGAAAACTAAACAGTGCAGCCATACTCAAAATCCACACAAGTTCGAAATTAAACAAGTTATGCCAACCCACTTTCTCAAACAGTACCTATATTTTTGGGGAAGATTCAAAATAGTCCTCCTTAGCACAACCACGGAAAAGACATGATTTTAATAAACACCAACTTCATAGCAAATACGTCCCTATCTTAAAACAGCATTGTTTTGAATCCACACGCTTCCCAGACCGTGACTTCCGTGCCCGAGGCTCCCCAAAACGTGAAGCGGTAGACAAGACGGGGGGGACCCGAGAACCCGAACACCCGAGAATCATCCAGTCCCCACAGCACAGACAACACCTGCCCCGGGCCCCGGGCCCCGCTCAGCTCCAACTCCGGCCGAGCCCGATGCCCGGCTCCCCGCCCCGCCCCCACCCCGAGAAAGGAGGGAAAACAACTTTTATTGGCCTCGTCTCCCGGGGGATCGGCGAACTAGCGGGGCAGAGCCCGGGCCCGCACGCGCCCCCCGGCAGGCCCCCGCGCGGGGGAGGCTCGGAGCGGGGAGGCCCGGCCGCCCCTCGGGCCCCGCGGCCGCCCCACCCCGCCGCCGGGCCCCCCGCCGCCGCCGCCAGCGACCCCGGGCCCCTCCGCCGAGGCTCGCTCGCTGTCATGTGACGCCGCCGCCGCTCCAGCCCCGCGAACGCAGGGCGCCGGAGAGGCGTTCGCGCCGGCCCGCCTCGGCCCGGCCCCGTCCCCGGAGCCGCGGGGCGGGCTTGGCGCCGGGCCCGAGCGCGCCACAAAGGCTCCGGGCGCCCGGTGCCCCGGCGGGCGGGGGCTCGGCGGCCGCGGCCCGGGGAGGGGCGGCGAGCGGGGCGCGGGCGGCCCCGCCGGCGCTGCCCCCGCCGGCGCTGGCCCCGCCGACGGGCCCCGCACAGGCCCCGCGCGGCCTCCCTCCCCCGGGCGGGGCCCGCGCCCGGCCGCCCGCGCCCCGCTCGCGCTCTCCGGCTCTCGCCGGCCTCCATCTTGGATCGGCGCTTCCAGCCCCCGCGCCGCGGCCGCCGCATTTCCCCCTCTTGCCCGCCCCCCGCCGCCGCCGCCGCCGCCCGCACTCACCTCAGCTGCCCATCCGGGCGCCGCCGGCCGTCGACCTAGTTTCCCCCCAAAAGTCTCCGGTGTGTTATTCCTGATGTGGGGGGGTTGTTACGGGGTGGTCGCCGGGGGTTCGGGAGCGGGGGCCGCGCCTTCAACGGAGCTGCAATCCTAACCCGCCATCTGGTGGCATTTTCCACACGCCAATGGCGCCGCTGCAGCCTCGGGTCCGGACCGCCCTCTGCTGGCCGCGCTGCTCACTGCCTCGCTCACGGGACGGGGCCTGCCCGGAAAAGGGAGGGAGCTGAGGCGCGAGCTGGGGGCCGCGGCGGGGGCGCGCCCCAACGCTTTCCTGTGGGGATTGCGCGCACGCGCGCCAGCGGGGCGGGAAACGTGGCCGCTGCGTGGCGGCCCCGCCCCCGCGCGGAGCGCTGGCCCGGCTCAGCCAATGGCGAGCCGCCCATACCTCTGGGCGAGGGCGCCGTGGCCGATTCGAGGGCCGCCCGAGGCGGGCGGAAGGACGGCTGCGGCGCGCCTGCGCGCTAGCTCCGCCGAGTGGCCGCCCGCCATTTTCGGAGCCTCCCGGACACCTGGGGAGGAGGCCGCGCCGGCGCCCACACCGGGCGACGCGCCCGCCCTTCCGCCGACTCCCGCCCCGGGCCGCCCACGCTTCCCCGCGGCCACGCCCTGCCCCGCTCCCACCCGCCGCCCGCGACGCGCGCCCCGAGACGGGCGGCCGGTGGAGCCCCTGCCCGCTTCCCCCTTGTTGTGACGAGGGCCTGGCAGCTTAGCGTTGTGTTCACGGTTGTTGACAGCTCTCCCCGGGCGAGGGCGGAGGGCGTCGCCTGGACGCCCCTCGCCACCGGGCTGGACTGCCTGCTCTAGGCCGATGGGCGTCGTCCTGCCCCTGCGCGGCGGGGCTCCGCGGTCGCCTCTCATAAGGCGGCAGCATTGGCTCGTCAGTGAGCAGGGAGAACGAGACGTCTGCTCCCACAGCCTTGGGCCTGCACCCCGCGGCTCGGGAAGGGGCGTAGACCCCTTGTAGCTGCCGAAAAGGGAAACGGTTAGGATCCTGAGCTCAGGAGCGCGGCGTTCCGGAGGAGCTCGCGCTTTCTCCACTCCTCCTCTCCAAGCCTGACCCCCCACCACACACCTGCTTGTAACTGTTGCAAAAGTGAATCCTTACTGTCCTGAATCAGCAGGCCCACGTGTAACTCGATTCTCAATGACCACGATCCCCACTTCTCTGCAGTCTCAAGGGCAAAGCTCTAATAGGTTACCCCGCTTGTTTCTCTTGCAAGGGTTGCAAGTCGTTTGGCTTTTAACTGAAGGCAGTCACCATCTACTGGGTTAAAATTTGAGACTGGATAGAAATAGAGATTTCGAAAACTACGATGGATTTCCTGTGGCATTCTCCACAGACTTTTTTGTTATTAAAGGTGTCAGTCCCGGTCCATCCGAATAAATGACTTCGTCTGCTTCCCTCCCGTCGAGGCTCTGGGAGACTACGGTTGTGTTGACAGCTCTGCCCATAGTAAGCCATGCCCATGACCCCAGAAGTGATGGCTAAGTGAGCCCAGCCCCTCCTTCTCTCCGAGGCAGTTTGCTCCGGAATGCATCCCACCACTGTTGCCCCATCTCCTCCCCCAGCATCTTCCTATTTTCAACAGTTTTATTTTTAAGGAAAAGGAGCTGTTGCGAGCCCCTCCCTTTGCTATCCTGTCAGTGTGACCTTTCCCAACGGAGATCGCCGCCTCCAGTGTCCCTCGCGGAGCCCTCTGCCCCTCTCTTGGACACAGACACTGAATTTATGGTTCACTCGTCTAATTCCTTTTTTTTTTTTAACTTTTCCCCCCTGTATTTCATACTTCAACCCCTGACTCTCTACTACATTTTTCCCCTACAAAGTCTGCCAAAATTACTGTCCCTGATATTTTCAGTAATTAAGGTTCTTCGTGTTCAGCTACTACGACAAAGCTCCAATTTAAACCCAACATTTAAAATAATTCAGGGGTGGGCGTTTGACACGTGGTTCCGAGGCTGCCTGGGACAGCTGCAGCCCATTTAAGCTTCCCTGGACTTTGCTTCTGACCCAGCTCGCTGCTAATATGGGTTCATGCCACACACGTGGGAAATCCAGTCTGAGTTCTTGGCTCAGGGCTTGGGTCTGGCCCAAGTTGTTGAGGTCGTTTGGAGAGCGAAACCACCAAATAAAAGCTCTCTCAATCTCTGTGCCTCTTAAATAAATGCATACTCTCTTGAATTTCTTGATCTCACGTTAATTCGTTGTAATTGTAGAATCGTACAGTGAATTAAGAAATGAACTGTGAACTAGAATGCTCCAAAAAGCTGTGATCCTGGGAAGATCTCTGTGTCTCAACTGTGAGATGGAGATTGTAACTATCTCATAGGGTCAAACTACTTAACGCTTAGGTAGAAATGTCATTGGTATTATTACATTGTGGTTTTTTTATCTTCCTGAGAAATTTTTAGCTTTTTCTCTTTGTATCCAAGGGAAGGAATAGTGAACTTTCTGATAATTTATAGAAGTCTAAAATTGTCTTTTTACTCTCATACTTAATCATTAAGCTGCTGTTCATAAATCAGTAGCTGTCCCTACATCATAGGGCCCGGCTTGATTCTTTTCTTCAAAAAGAGCTTGAATCGCATCACATTCTCATTCGGATCCCTTTGCTGCTGTTTCTGAGCTTCCAGCCCTTCCCTGTCAATTCCTATGGAATTGCATATCTACTTGACAGTGCTCTGTGTTTCCTATGGCTTATTAAATATTTAAACTACATACTGATAGTCAAGATTTGTCTTGATTGTCCCAATTTCTGTTTGTCACAAATTCGTCACACTTACCGAGCTGGTCTGAGCAATAAAAAATGTATATAAACAAAAGGCAGATTGATTCCTTTAGTACTTGGTAATAGAAGTCCTAAAACATATTGAAATTGTTACAGTAAATTACTCATTTCATGGGAGCCTCTGTTTCTACGAAATCCTTAAGATTGAAAATCTCTGCAAAGGTTTTCAGATTCACCAAGTTTCATTAATAGCATCAGGTCAAAGATACGATTGAAATATCAAGAAGATATACCTCTTTAGACACATGCCAATAACATTTTTATTTCAATTCAATTTCATAGCCATTGTGGTTCTTTTGTATAAATTTAATATTTTAAATAGAAAAAAAAATTACAATACGGATGAGAGAGTTTCTTCTGGCCTATTTTTAAAGACTTCATACAGTGCTTTACCTGGATTTTTGGACTTTCTTGCTTTCCCTGCAAATATACCAAATCCTAATGTGTCTGAAAAGTGTTAGCTATAATGAGCATTTATTAACCAATAACATGGATAACTTTGCCTTGCAACACAAAACCGCTATACAAACGGCATAATTCCTTTTTTAAAATTGGCTGAATTTATTTTCTTTCTCTTTTTCTGGATAACTGTAGCTCACAAAAGATTTCAGTAATCTTGTAAATATCAGTGGTTCTGCTTAGAGTAAGAGATGCTCCATTACCAGTTACTGGGTTTTTAGCACGAACAGAATTCTCTAGTTTTGTTTCCTTACCCTTAATTTTTGCCTCCTCTGCAAATCCTATGGGTTTTTGTTGTTGTTGTTTGTTTGTTTGTTTTGCTGGGGGAGCAGGCATCATGACCCATAGATCGTTTACATTTCCTCAAAGTGAAATATTCGCTCTGTACATTTCTCACTTGCTTATGGGACACTTGCTGTTGCCGGTGCCATTAGACCCTTTGCAAAAATCACAAATGGTGTCCCTTTCCTTTCTACTCTTGCAATTAAGGTGTGCTGCCAATTGGTGGCAGTAATATGCCATGTGGCCCACTGACTGGGTCAATTTTCCATTCTTTTTAAAAATGAGTAATCAGTTCTGCCCCGATGTTGGTGATAAGAGGGATCAAAATGTCTTAGCTTTCAGGTTCAGTAACCTGCTTGTAGACAAAGCTCCATCTCAGAAAGCAGACAGCCAGAACTACTCCATCATTAAAATAAGAAGCTTGATAGGCAAAGGACTTGAACTAGTGTGGGTAGGTTTTTTTACATCTATCTATGATAGAGTTAAATATCAGTGGAACAAGCACTTGTTTAGTCCACATTCCGTGGTCTCTGGAAGTTCCACCTCACCACTTCAGAAAGTCTAAATGAGACCTCATTTGGGGAATATCATTCACAGAGTAGAATTATAAAAACATTGTTTGCATTGAGAAACAAGTTTCTAATTTTATTTTTAGTGTATAAAACTTACACATTACAACAAATAAAAAGGGAGCAAATTTTATTCACTTTACATTACTGCAATGAATTGACAGACACGGGGGTTTTTTTCACTCATGGTCACAGTCCAGCATTAATGCCCAACGAGTGTTCTGGTTCTGCTGCTGGTGACAGTCCCAGTGTGGCACTGAGCATCCTATGGCACAAAAGCTTGTCTCTAACACAGTCACCAGTATTAAGAGGCTCCACTCTAACAACCTACTGCAATCCAGTCGGTTCCCAAAGGCCCCGCCTCCAAAACACCATAATGAGGACTAATTATGGGTAATAGCACCATTAAGATACAACTTTGGGGACTGAACTCCTGAGCTCAAGGGGACAAATATTTAAACCACAGACAATTAAATCACAACAAGTTGAAAAGAACAGAAGAATTTATGATTAAAAAGCAACAAATTGGCGTCCTGCTTCTACTATCAGAGCCACTCTCCAGAGAGAACTACTTCTGCATGTATTGGATTGGGATAACTTCAGCATTTCTAAACACTCCTAGCAAGTCTAGATAATATTTCATAACTCAGTGCTATGAAAAATAAGGATCATGCTAATCCCAACTGGTGCACTATCTATCTAACAGTTAAACTGACTCTAGGTCTATTGTTAGTTTTCCTTTAAATTTGAAAAATTAATGCAATATAAAACCTTACATAATATTTCAACCTCAGACAGTATCACAATTCTCCATTATTAACACCATTCTTCTCTTCTGCTCATTTGCCTTACACACAATCAAGACGCCCTGGTTTTGTCTGTCGACTAATTAAAGTTAATAGCTTCCACATGGCACATGCTTGCAATGAAAGCATCATGGCTGGATTTAAACTGTAATACTGGAACAAGGTGGAGGTATCCACCATGAGGTGAGGGCAAGGGGAGGGGTTGGGGGAATCCCAGAGTCTA